GCCAGACACTGAGACTTGGAAAAATCCAAAAACTCTACTCTTCTCAGTGAAAAAAGAGATATTTGAGTAGAGACCAAAGAGGTGAGAGAAGTTAAAGAGAGTAGAAAATCAGATTTAAGAATTGCTGCATAACAATGAATATGGGAACACTGAAAAAATAAAATTAAATTAATTAAAAAAATAAATTCAATTAACCAAGGTATAGTAAAAAGAAAAAAAATTGTTGCACACTTCATATTCCTACTTGTTAAAAATGCAATTAAAGTAATTCTTTGAGGGATGCCTGGGTGGCTCAGTTGGTTAAGCATCTGCCTTAGGCTCAGGTCATGATCCCAGGATCCTGGGATCAAGTCCTGCTTCTCCCTCTCCTTCTGCCTGCCACTCTGCCTGCTTGTGCTCTCTCTGTCAAATAAATAAATAAAACCTTAAAAAAGTAATTCTTTGAAAAACCATTATTCAGTTGTTGGACTCTGTATTTTTGGAAAATACGCTGCTCAGAAATAGGGCCAATCAGCAATCTATTCCATTTGGTTGAAGTCAATTCTGAGTTTCTGATCTTCTTCCTTTACCTCTAAAATGCATATATAGCTCCAATTTTTTTATATGTGTTTTCATTTTTCATCATCTTAGTGGATGAAAAAATAATGGATTATTATTAGTATCTCAGTGCAATGCAGTTGGCCAGGACAGAGGAGATGATCCTTGACATGCCAGAGGTCGAGGGTGGTGTGAGGGGAGTCTTCCCATGGGATATGGGCAATGAATGTGTGCCTGTTTGTGGAGGACTTAACAATGACAAAAAATGGAATAGAAGTTAACTGTTTTGGATGACCCTCATCAGTTAGTTTTTCTACGCAGTATCATGGATAACATGCCCTTCCATGTTAGAAATTTCAAATAATTGTTATATCAACCTGCAGAAAGGTGATCCTAGTGGCCTATCCGTGACACAACCTGAACACATCCAGTCATTCAGGAGCCCAGGCTTCTCCCATTGAGTGGCTCACGTGACTCGAAGGGATTTCAAGGGCTCCGCTGGATCTTTGCATTCAGGGGCAGATATTCTGGAAAAGTCAAAACAAAGGGGATATTAAAAAACCACATTGAGATACCATCATCACTAGCCATCAGGGAGATTCAAATTAAAACTACATTGAGATATCACCTTACACCAGTTAGAATGGCCAAAATTAGCAAGACAGGAAACAACATGTGTTGGAGGGGATGTGGAGAAAGGGGAACCCTCTTACACTGTTGGTGGCAATGCAAGTTGGTGCAGCCACTTTGGAGAACAGTGTGGAGATTCCTCAAGAAATTAAAAATACAGCTTCCCTATGACCCTGCCATTGCACTACTGTGTATTTACCCCAAAGATACAGATGTAGTGAAAAGAAGGGCCATCTGT